TTTTCGGCATCGTTCAAATACAGTACAGTACCATAACCCACCGCCGAAATTTTGACGAACAAAGCTTTTTTCAATGTTTCAGCGCCGTGCAGGTATCAATTCAAGGAAAGTGTGAACAAACGTTTTCTAATCAAAAACAAGGTCCTATTAGCGCGTGAAAAACAGCTTTGAAATTAATCACCCTTGAATTTAATTCGTTTTCCCCTGTGATCTGAGCAATATTTCAGAGAAGGACTTATTTTTTAGAAAGTTTCGAATGCTACTTATCGTTTTCGGTGAGTAGATAATCACACACGTCTTCCCGAATCGTGTTGTGTATTATTGAATAACAAATGAAAAATTTGAGGCCTGGTTTCCTGACTTGAACCGACCACCCTTTCTGCATCCTCAGAATGACTGCGGTTTTGGTTGTGTATAAAACCTACGTTTTATTCAAATTTCGAAGATAGAACGACGCCGTTTCGATGAAAATCGTGATCGTAGATGCACATTGTTTTTTCTTCTTTTTTTCAGGCGAGAAATTCTGGGTAAAACGAAAGATATTCTCAAGGCTCTTGAAGCTCCTGAACAGAGTTTGGTCGAGGCTCAGAAGCAAATGGAGAGCTTGCGTCTTCGAAGAGCCACACTCGATCGACGCGCTAGCATCGGAATCAGGGATATTGACACGATCGAACGGGAGCGACAGAATTGCAATATGGAGCGTTCCCTGATTGAACGTCAAACACAACTTTTGAAGAAGAAAATTCGGGATGCTCGGAAGGAGCGGGGAGAGCTTGAGAAAAAGTGTAGGACGTTGCGGAACAAAATTCTTGAAAATAAGCAGTCTCTAGAACGTTATGAGATAAGATCTAGAACAATTCATAGAAACTGAGACCTCTTTGACTATTTCTTATTTCGTGTGTTCATAAATGTACCCCACTTTCTCATTGTGATTTGGAAGAATGCCCCTGGAACTTCGAAATTCCTGTTTCTCTTCCTCTTACTTATCATGTAAATGTTTGAAGTACTGTAGTTTATCCTTCCCGCCAGAAAATGTATCCCCAGAAAATGTCACGCAATGGGGCCTGAATTCTTGAATATAAATCGAAAGACGACGCTTGAATTTCCCTCGGAGAGCGTGAAGGAGAAAAACAAGAATTTAGGAGTATCCTGGATTTTTCAAAATACATTGATGAATTGTGGAAAATTTTTGATGTTCCATGTCTATTATTTTACGGGACAATTGGAACACTGATCGACAAGAGCTGTGTCTTGTGATGACATTTTCAGTATTGAACTAAAGCTGACCTCCTTTCGTTATTGAAAGAAAAAGCGAAACTGTGGTAAACATTAGTTGTACACTCTTGGAAAATCGCCAATTTATTTTCTGCGCGTTGAAGTGATCGTTTCATCTATGCTGTGAAATTCAATTGTTTAAAGAACCTTATTTTGGAGGCCTCGCGGATTGTGAGTCATTTTGTTTTTACGTGAATCTCTCTGATGATGTCTGATTTGAGGGTCGTCTAATCAGGCATTTTTGTGATGCTCTTCGTTTTCACGAACAAGTCGAAAGTGATTCGGAAAACATTAAAAAATTTGATTTCATGCTCAATTTCTCGCAGGGGTTCCCCGTGGTGCGTGAAATATTTTTCGATGTATTCAAGAAAAAAACTGCTAGTTCGACTTACTGGGCATTCAATATTCCGGTGTCACTTAACTTGATTATATGCTGCATACTTTAATAGTTTTATTTAATTCAGGAAAGATGTGTAACTTGCTTGAGAACGCGGTGTTTGTGTTGCAACTGAGTGTTGGGGACAAAAATGAAAATCGAATCATTTCATTCCCTAACGGAGACGACAGTGCAGGAGTGTTCCCCGCTTTGAAAGCTAAAGTTTTGACCTGGGCTCCGGGTTTGACTGAGAATGACTTCAATATCGCGTGGAAAGGTACGGAACGGACGTCCGAAAATCCTTGCTTTTGCTTTGAAATTATGATCAGAAGTTTTTTTTTCCCTAGATGAAGATGGAGACATCATAGTTATCGGCTCAGCTGACGAGTTCAAGTCTGTGCTGGATTTGATACCGCAATCGGCGGATTTACGGCCTCGGAAAGTGAAACTCCTGGTATTGCCGGTGGAGACCGAAAAGAAGAAATGCAGCGCGGAAACCGTTGTGGAAAACCGAGAGGAGTGCATTGGAGAAGAGCACATGAATGTCATTTGTGATGGGTTCGTTACATCATATTCTTTCTTTCTTCAGCTTTGAAGAAAATCTTCACAAAACCTTTTTTGCCATTTAGGTGTAACCAACGTGTTCGTGGTTTCCGCTACAAGTGCCTCGTGTGTCCGGACTACGATTTGTGCCAGAAATGCGAGGCTAGTGGAAAGATACACGCTGCGCATCAAATGCTACGTGCTCC